GACAAGGATTCCATGAAGACTAAGCAATTTATGAGACAACATGAAAGTTTAGTTTCGTTATTAATTAAAATGATCATATGTTTTTGCAAGCTGTTTTTGCCACCTGTACGGATTCTTCTTGCAAGGAGTGACAGTTTCAATTTGTGCACCCAGAAGAGTTACCCGCTTGCCTTGTTTATATTTGCATTGTTCACAAGTGAGCACATGTCCGGGTTAGTCCATTTCATGAATGGGTTACCGGTGTTGTACTTATGGACATCCCACCTTTTGATACGCCAATCTATCTTCCTCTACAATGAGGAAATGCGTTTGTAGAAATATTAGGATTTATGGCCGAATACGTGAAAATTTTCTGCCATTATACGCAATCCTGATTTATCTGGAAACGAACGTCAGTTCATGGAAACTCTATGAAATACACGACAAAAATATCCAGCTGGAAATATAAGTTGATGATCCTAAAAAAGAAATAATACAGACAAGAACCAAAGAAAAAATACCGAAAAATTCTCGAATCTGTTTTGAAATTAATTCTGCTTTTCTAAGTATATAAAGATTTCATTTAAATGCCTCCTACAATAATGCTTTAGTGTATTCTAAGTTTAATTAATATTCTAGTATCCACACTCAATACATACATACATACACACATATATATATATATATATGTGTGTGTGTGTGTGTGTGTGCGTGTGTGTGTATGCCTGTGTGTGTGTATATATATGATAAACATGCGAATTAGATGTCATAAAGCAATATGCTTGCAAAGTATTTGCTGATGACAGGGAGATAAATTTTAAATATTAGATGAAATAAAGAATAAAAAATACAGTTGTTATGGAGCTGCTTGTCGAATGCCTTCGATCAGTTTAAATTTACATTGTAGATTTTTGCAAAAATTATCCTTGCTCTTGGCATAAATTCTTAGTTATATCAAATAGCATATTCCCTAAGTTCTTATATGCGGATTCAACAAATTTTAAATATTAACTTATTTACAATCTTAAACTTTATTTTCTGACGTACCAAAGCATTATTATACCTCTTTTTCCCTTATATATATATATATACGTATAACTGACAAATTGCCTAAATCGTGTACCACCATAATTATGAAGATACACACAATGATATATATATATATATATATATATATATATATATATATATATATATATATATTTAAATATATATATATATATATATATATATTTATATACATTTAAATCTATATATATATATATATATATATTTATATACATTTAAATCTATATATATATATATATATATATATATATATATATAAATATATATATATATATATATATATATATATATATATATATACTAGCAGTAGGGACCGCCCGTGCCCGCGGATGTAACAGTAATAGTTGTGGACGGCTGTTGCTTTGAAAGATGTGCTTTGGAAGTCGACAGGAACAAAGATTCTACAAAACGTTGAAACGCATGCAAACAAAGTTTAAGCAGACATCATGCAGGCCCAAGTATTCGAAGGTATCGAAGGAAGTAACGCAAAGGCGTTGTAGCATCAGTCATTTGCCATTACTAAGACATCTGGGAGTAAAAGGTGGAAGCAGTTACTGCTTTAACCAATTGGACCATTATGCATTACTGGAAGCACTTGTGGTATGTATTCAAGAAACCACGATTCAGTTGCAACATAATTAGGGATTGAAGGGAAAACGTGCCGTGAGGAAACCATAGACATAGACATGCCGAAAAGACGGCGCTGCCACGACCACAAAGCAGAATCGTAAAACCGAGAGAAGAGCGAACAGTGACGAGGTGTCATGGTAAGAAAATTTCTGTGATATAACTTCCTTTATTCTGATCTGTCACTATCTACATTGCTGCTGAGAGCCCATAAAACAGCAACGGGGGTAGCCGTAAGGCCCAGCATGGTAATTGCACTAGAGAAGTGCCATCTCTTAAGTCGTACTCAACATCACGCTGAGAGCTCATGGAACCGGACCGGCGTCGCCGCACGGCCTAGCACCTCAATTGCAATGAAAAAGTACCTTCTCTTCTGTCGCAGTCAACATCACGGCTGAGAGCTCATGAAACCGGACCGGGGTCGCCATATGGCCGAGCGCCTCAGTTGCAATGGAGAAGTGCCTTCTCTTCAGTCGCAGTCAACATCACGGCTGAGAGCTTATGAAAACCGACCGGGGTCGCCGTACATGGCGTGTGTTTTTAGTTTTTTTTTTTACACGACTACAAACAAGACAATAGAGTCGTATGGCTAACATGTTTCACCCATGGCAGCCGTAATGTGTATATGGAAGCAGAAGCCTTAATTTCGTAGACGCACACGACTTTTGTGACAATTAAACGAACTCCGAATCTTCTCAAGTGTGAATGTGCTTGTATGCATTGTTACGAACTGCAGGTGCTCCTATCAACTGTTAATGCAACCGGGACTTTAATGGACCAATCATGTCTAATGCCGGTGTGCATGTGTCTAGCCGCTTGTGTTTCAACTGAATACTGTGAGGTTATTATAGTGTACAAACAAACGCGGTGATAGCGGGTGAAGATATGAAAGTCAGAAGGCAGAAAAAGAGCTGGATAAATTTTACAAAGATGTCTTAGTAATGGCAAGTGGAGACTACGACGACCTAACGTTAAAACCAATATGACAAACAAAAAAATTGCCATTCAATCGGACTGCATATGTGTGCATGGCGTTTAAACGCTACCGTGGGATTGTCAACAGGACCTCCATGTAGTTATTGTTTCTAGCACAGTTGTTGGGAGAGTAAATGGAAACCCTGTCCTTAGACCCAACTCGTGAGCACCCAACGTAAAGTTGGCCGTGAGAGAAGCACTGCTCACGTAAATGCAGACCTGTGATGCTGAGCGTCTGTCCTTATAATTTGTTAATGGACATAACAAAGTAAAGTTTCACGGGAAATTGTGAGCGACGAAAGTTGATTGGTATGCTTGCGTCTGACGGCAGAAGATGCATCCTGGGAATCAGAACGACTTCCCCCTTGTTGCAGCCAGTTGCAATGGTCACCTCAATCAGGTTCGGAGAAAGGGATTTAATAATAAGGCGAGTCCCGTTGCACCGTTTAGGTGGGAGCAAATTCTTGATTAACATAATCGGAGCACCAACTTTGAGCCGAAGAATATGAGGTGGGAATACGGACGGCTGGAGGGAGCTCAAAACTTCTATGGGATACTCTGCTAATGCAGATGGACTTATAAACATGACATTGAGCGGGAATGCTATCCAACAGTTTACGGTTGATGGAATCAACTGTACAGTTCTTCGGTGCCAATATGGCCCTCCCAGCAAGCCAATCGGCATCGGCAAAATCAGTGGATAGGTTGCATTCGTCAATTCATCCGGTGATTCATCAGTGGTGGCAAGCTGATCCATCTGCACAAAACCGTGTGTTTCAGATGGCATTTTCCCCTCCCCAACAGTAAGAAGGTCCTAGAGTCACCAATCAAGTAGGCACGCGTGTTCGTGCTCAGTTTAAGAGTCTCCACGTGGCGCCAAAGGGCAGATGACTTCAGGCAGGCGCGGGCAGCGTCAGCGCGTATACTTTTAGGAATAACAGGTAGAGTCTGCCTAGAATCGCCTGCGAGGAGACAGGTTACTCCAACCATGGGGTCGGAGGAGTCGCGGATGTCTTGGAGACTTCGGTCAAGTGCCTCAAGGGCGCCCTTGTGTGTCATCGTGAACTCATCCCAAACTATGTTTGCATCTCCGCAGAACTTCAGCCTGTGGCGAATTCTTTGTTATGTTGCAGAGAGGAGACTGTGACCGGCATAGATCAAGCGGCAACCTAAAAACCGAATCAGCGGTTCTACCTCCCGGTAGCAACGTTGCAGCAATCTCGGAAGATGCGACCGCAATAGCGATCTCCTCACACCGTACCTCTGCCAGGATAAATATAGTAACAAAAGTTTTGCCAGTTCCTCCGGGCGCATCTAAAAAGTATATATCTCCACTGGAGCCGTTTGCCCTGTCTGTTATTGTAGTGAAAGCAAGCCCCTGATTAGGTAGAAGTTTCGGCTCGTTTTCGGTAATGTATGCGTTCAGACCCTCGATGGAGTAGGATGTTTCCCACAAAAACACAGTGTCAAAAGCGTCTCTGAGCGGTGGTGGTAAACGCTAAGTTGGTAAAGAGGCGCCTCCCATTTCGAAAACATCTACTAGGGCCACCAGCGCTCTGTTGAATATGAAGTCAGTGAAACCGTATTCAACTCCTGGGCTGTTACGCTGAACGGAGAACAGCACATCCTCTGACATGGATTCTCTGTACTTTAGCCAGAGCGACAGAGGATCACTTAGTCCGCATCGCAAAAGCATAAAGGCGAACACCGTTCGAAACCGTTATGGCGTTCTGAGATGTTCACCCTCCGCCATGGCTGCATCCCATTGGGGGTCGTCTTCAAGCAATCTCAAACGGAAGCATGCCTCTCTATAATACTGGCACTCTATGCCGTTGACAGTGCGAATATCTGTGAAACTCCTTGGCCCATCAATTTCATGAAGTAGAAGGCGGATGTAAAAGCACTCCTGACGGCTGGAGGCACAGTATAAATGGCCAGCAAGGCAAGAGTTAGACCTTATATCGGGATAACCCTTGACAGGGTCGCCAGCCTTTCGCCGAACCCACCGGTTGTTTGACCACACGTAATAGGACGGTACTTGGGGTATATCAATGTTTTGGCAAAAGTATCTGTTGAGCATAATTTAAAGAAAGGGTTGTGTCTTTTGGGTTTTCCGCAACCTGCTGGGCGTTTTGTTCGGTGAAATACATCCTCTGTCTATTGTCTAAGTGAACAGCAAGCTGAACAATGACTGGAGCCCTCTGGTGTATGGGGAATCCGAAAATTCGCGAAAAGGCCTCGCTACCCTCGAGGTAGCGTCCAGCCACGTAATAGGCCACCACGTCGACGCAATTGTCGCTCCGGATACCGAAAACGGCAGCATCATTGCCTTTATTAACGTACTTGCAGATTTACTTTATTGACTTAACCGAGTGGCAGTATTCAACGTTTATGTGGGCTCCAAAAGTCTTGAACAGCAGCGGGCAATAAGGCACAACCCAACGATTGTCCAGAGTGTGCCCCTTAACTGTTACAGTCCTGCCGCCCTCAGCGGGGCTTCTACGTCTGTACAGTGGGTAACCATCCGTCGCAGCCTGCATTTTTGAGATAAACTTACGGCGGTAACCCTTTGTGCAAGTGGGGGCGCTTGACCAACGTAACCTTTTTTCGTAATTCACGCCACAGGGGCCGTGTATAATATCTTTTTTAATGACTTCGTGGAGCAAAAGAACCAGCGCAGGATCTGTAATTTCAGCAGAAATAAAATCGTCTATTTTATTTGCATCAACATTATCATTGAGCCACAGCAGAATGTGGGCATGAGGCAAACCGCGTTTCTGCCATTCCTCTGTATACATATGACACTTAACGCGTCTGAAAACTCTCCCTTTAAGAATTAAATCCATAAGCTTACACAGCTGTAACCGGAAAACGCGGGCAATTGGGTGGTGTGAGTACTGCTGACTTGGAAAAAGTTCGCGTGTGATTTCAACCCATTTCCGATTGCACGTGATCGTGACGAACAAATCAGGCCTCCCGTAATGACGGACATAGGTCATTGCGTCTTGTGTCCTTTCATGCATGCATCGAGGGCCACCAGTGTAAGAGGAAGGCAAAATGCACGGTTTGCCGAGTTTGCGTGCGCCCCCATCAGAACGCAGACCCTCATGAAGGTGAATGTAGGAGTCAGTTATAAATTTGGATTGGTTTAACTTGATGTATTCTAACCTCGTCGACTCCATTTTTGCAGCCATTCCAACAGCGAATTGAAGCAATAGTTAACGACACCTGTGCAAGTGGTTAAATTCACCCTCCCTAACCATAAACATGTAGGCGTAGTAAGCCCTACAGGAGACCGTCTTTGAGGTCGACATGGAATCGCTGCTTCCCTGGTATATTGGGATTTTGAAGTGGTACCTATCGCTTCCCTATGTAAAAAGAATTGGGTACTGGAGACAGTCGTATGAAGACCACCGCCCTGGTACCTTATGACAATGTCACGGCTGTTATGCTCCTCACCGTGGATGACTGCGGCGACTTCATTACATGCAGGAGCATTGAAGCGACGCTCATGCTCACCGTGAGGCCGTCTGTCTGCATAGATGACAACGCTGAAAGATGGCGAAGAGTTGTTTTGCAACACAAACTTTAAGCTTCGGATGAAACTGTTAGTTTCGTGAAGCATGCCTTGTAGTTGGAACAGAATATCTCTACGCGGACCGACGGAAATATCGAAACGCGCATCAACCTGTCAGCGAGAAAGTAAATTTGTAGGAACTGAGGTGGCACTCCCTGATCAGCCAAAAGTGATCCCATTAAGTGGTAAACCTGATCTTGCACTTTGAAAGTAGGCATCCATCCCCATTCACTAATAGCCTTCGCACCAAAAGACGTCATCTGGAAGCAACAGTTGTACTTCCGTATTACTTCAAGTAAATGCGTTGACTCAGAAGTTGTACCCGGAAGGAGGTCACGAAGCGGCTTGGTAGGTTCGTCTAAACAAGGGTGTGTGATTTTGCCCTCAGAGCTACATACGCAACGAGACGAACAGTGGTTTGTACAGGGCCTTCTAGGGCTCTAGCAGATGCAGTAGAGCGGGCATTTCTAACGCGACGAATAGTGGTCTGTGCATGGCTTTCTAGGGCTCTAGCAGATGCAGTGGAGCGGACATTTCTAACGCGGCGAACAGTGCTCTGTGCAGGGATTTCTAGGGCTCTAGCAGACGCAGTAGAGCGGGCATTTCTAACGCGACGAATAGTGTTCTGTGCAGGGATTTCTAGGGCTCTAGCATATAACACGACGCGCGATCACGCGGGCACTATAACGTGTGAGAAATCATGCGCGATGATTGGACTGGACCCAAGTTCAAGCTCTGTGAAAGCGACCAATGGGCTTGCAGCAGTCTCGGTATCGACATGCGGACTCGGTTGTACCCAGCTGTGTGTGAGTAACGAAATTACAAAAAAAGATTGAACAGCATGCAGCTACCGTTAGTTTTGCCTAAATATTCTGAAATTTGTCACACATAAAGATGATATAAGCTGCAAGTGTGTCATAAATTTCATTTTAATCAAAGCAAAACTGTACCTACTGTGCCAGTGAATTTGTGTTCGGAGGCCTAAATCCTGTCCTCTTGGTATGCTCGTTTATGGTTCACTGGTCAAGCGGCTTTTGACAGTCTTGCAAACAATTTGGTACGTGTTAGATAGCCAAGCGTTTGTGCTATCAGAAACTGGACAATTTGCTTTGTTTTGGTGTACCGGTACCAAAACATCGTCCAAAGACTGCGAAATATCTGCATAAATGGCCCTTACCCGTGATTTCAAATTGATTTCGTGCAAAAACAATTGTATTTATCCAATTTTTGGCGCTGCCAGAACGTGTAATTTACGTAGTCCTGTGAAGTTTTGTTGAAATAGGTTGAAAAATGTAGGAAATCCGATCCCATATATAAACGAACAGACACACACACACATGCACACAACCTGGGTTTTATAATAATTATTATATATATATATATATATATATATATATATATATATATACTAGCAGTAAATCCCGGGGTTTTATGTAGTTAAATTGATTTGGGATTTGAATTATTGAACTTTCACACGTATCCGCAGTTGTTGAGGTCATTGATACACCGGGAATCTCACTGGTTGCCAAATCAATGAGATCAAGAGCAACCGGTTGCAATAGGTGGCTACTGTGTTGCTGGTCCGTGCTTACCCGAAGACGAGACGATCACCCATTCCTAATCGGTCAAGATTTTTAATTCTGGCAATGTAAAATAGTGGTTGCGTTTTCACTATAGGACTCGCCCCTTCACTATTAAGTCCATAAGTTTTCCTAGTTTTAAGTGGAATACGCGGGCGGCAATGTCATGTCTGTGTGTGTAATCCTGTCCGGGTAGGAGTTCAAGCTTTATCTCAACCCATTTGGGGTTGCAGGTAAACGTTATAAATAAGTCTGACCGCCCATATTGCCTAACGTATATGATACCGTCCTGCGTGCGTTCATGCATGTAACGCGGCCCCCCAGTGTAGGTTGAGGGTAGAATGCACAGCTCCCCTAGGTCGCGGGAATAACCTTCATTTCGAAGACTGTCGCGTAAGTTTACGTAGCAGTCTGAGCGCAGCTGTTTCTGATGATTCCGTATAAAACAAAGCCTCTCCGATTCCATCTTAGCGGCCATGTCAACCGCAAACTGGTAGAAAAGGTCCCTGCATCTATGAAGCAGGATGATGTTTCCATCCCTAACCATGAACCGGTATGAGTAGAAGGCCTTGCATGATAAGGCTTTGGAAGATCTTGTAGGTTGGCCCCCGGAGTATGAAGGGGAATGCCGAAGTGTTAGCCATCGTCAACATAAGGGAAATGTAAAGGATACTGCGATGCATCATATGATCGATGGGACTCAGAAATCCTGCAAAGAGCACCGCCTCTTGATTTGAGAACAATATCTCGAGTGAGGTCTTGCTTCCCATGTATAATAGCGGCCATTTCGTTGCACGCAGGAGCATTGTAGCGGCGTTCGTATTCATTATGAGGCCGTTTGTCGGCGTCAATTACAATGCTGAAGGAAGGAACCGGAGCATTTTCGAAAGCATATTTGAAATTGCAAATGTAGCTCTTAACCTCGTGACGCAAGGCTTGAAGTAGTAGTATGACGTCACTGCGAGGAACTCTGAATGACGCCGCCGAGGCGTGTTCGGCGAGCTTGGGGAATTTGAGATAAGCGCACAGAGGCCATGTTTGTAGCAGCCCTTGAAAATCTCTTTGCCCTTGTCTGTTGGCCCTCGGAATTTCTGGCAGCAGAAGTCTCTGCAGTGTTGCGGGCATTGCGGGTTGCCCCGCTAAAGCACTCTCGGACACCCTTGACCTAGCTGTTGCAGCAGCGTCCCTGGATTGATGGGCGCGTCTGCGGTCGAATGTTTCAGCTGCCCTCGACCTGGCAGTAGTGGCAGTAGTGGCAGCATTCGTAGCATTTCGAACAGTCTTACGGAGCGGATTCGCAGCAGCCCTAGCGGTCTCTGTTGCGGCAGCGTCCCTGGATTGCCTGACTCTACTGCCCTCGACCTGACGGTGATAGCAGCATTCGTAGCATTTCGCACAGATCCTACGTAGCGTTGTCTCAGCAGCCCTCGCTCTAGCTGTTGCAGTAGCGTCTCTAGATTGACAGGCGCTCCTGCGATCAAGTGTCTCTATTGCCCGTGATTTCGCAGTGGCAGCAGTTTTTCTTACGTTACGAAGAAGACTTTGATGATGAGTGACGGAAACTCGAGATGCAGAGGCGGTTGCTGCACCCTGTGCGTTCATTCTCGACCGTTGTCTATTTTTGAGCCTTGATCGCAACGAAGCCCTGTAGGCAGATTTCCCAGTCAAGCAGGTAGCACGCTCCTCTTGTGACTGCGAGGCGTGCGTGAGGGCGCTGCGTTAAGCGACATATGATAGTCGCATTGTAGTCTGCTCCTGGGACTTGCGGGCCCTTCTTGCCCTCATAGCGGACGCTCTTGCAGACCGAAGGCTAAGACATACCCTCCGTTTTGATGGCATGGGGAAAATGAATGCTAGTAATGGTTGATTAGTGTTCCTCAATATCGCAAACCGTGAGCCAGAATCGGGAAGGCAGGCATTTAAGTAAAACTGCTGAATAAATTGTTTATGGTAGTTGGAAAAATGTAATTAAACACACAAACGGAAAACAAAAACGTAAGAAATTGTGGTAGGAGAAATGATCCGTTGAAGGAGCCTATAGTATCAAGCGGAATGCGGTGTAACAGGAACAGAAGTGAGACCTTCGTGCCTAATATGTGCACAGCAGGTTCAAATGCACAATATTACTGGCCAATCCGTTGTGCCAATTAGCGGGCGTCCTAGGGTATCGAACACCAATCAGCAATCGCGTACTGCACTCAGACAATGAGATACCGCTATGTGAAGCATGGTCACACGTCTCTGAATACTCTGTAGAGTCTGTAGTGTAGACATCTCAGTTGAACATACGTTTGATTTGTGTATTCGTAAATTCCGTTAAAGACATGATTGCATCGATTTCCCTTAGGTATTAGTTGGTCACAAAGGAGCTCACAGGGCAGACGATTTAATTGTCACGACTAACGCCGATAGAGTTATTCAAAATCATAAGAAAGTTGCGAAAAACATCGTCAAATTCAGGTAAACTCGATTTGAATGGGAAATCAATAGGGGTATGATTTCATCGATTTTTATCCGATTATTGAAACCGATATTGAAAACGAAAGTCAGCATCACAATACAGTCGGTAAATACTATGATCAACAAGAATTTTGCTAAAAAATTCTTCGCCATTTGCGAAAAATATAGCCAAAATAAGCTAGATAAGACTCGAATCGGATGTCCCAAAATAATCGATTGTATCGAATTTTTCCAGTAATTTATATCGATATTGAAAATGAATATCAGCACCTCAAAACTGTTGATAAAAACAATGCTCAACGTAATTTTGGTGGAAATTCTTCGCCATTTGCGAAAAATATAGCCAAAAATCTTCTTGACTGGATTTGAATTGCAAGTCAAAAGTGACAGGATGTTATCGATTTTTTCCGATAATTGCTACCGATATTGAAGAAAAAGGTCAGCAACTAACAACTCTTGATAAATCTAATGCTCGACATGATTTTCAGGAAAATTCCTTGCTTTTACGAAAAACAGAGCCAAAAATCAGTTACATTGGATTTGAATCGGATGTCCCAAAGTGATCGATCTTATCGATTTTTTCCGATAACTGATATCAATTTTTAAAAACAAAGAACAGCACCTCTAAACTACAAGTAAGGACATTGTTCAACGTGAGTTTGGTGGATATCACTTGTAATTTTTGAAAATTATCACTGAAAAACTAATGAACTTTTTTTCGAATTAATACACGACCTGCTATAGTTTTGTCGATGTTTTTCAAAATCGGTGGATCAATCGAAAAATCCGATGATATCAAGTACCAATGGCGTAAATTTCCGATCTGTATGTGAATTTTCAAGACAATCGAAAGAACGATCAGCTTTAAAAAAGACTCGTAACTGGAAAAACTTAATGAAAAAAGAATGTTAACAACAAATACTTTTTCATGCCCAACCCAGTTCTGCGGAATCAGAATCAACGTTGAGTTTAAGCAAGCGAATGAGCTAATTGGAGTAAAGTGGCATGCGGATTTAAATTTTTCCCACTTGTGACGAATGCAGCTACATTTTTTTGCATGCTAGTTAACATTCGTGTCAGTCAGCTGTTGGCTTTCACGCTGGCCAATAGAATCCTCCTGCCTATTCGTGGCAGCCAGTTATAAGCTCTTATTCTGGCCAGTAGAAAATGGCCGCAAACTACATGGAAACTGCCGTAGAAGCATGATATAATCGATTATTTCCACTATCGATGGGAGTTGGGAAATGCAAAGTCGGTCTTGGCTTTTCCAGTTACTTGGAGCATGTGCATGTAAATTTTGCTGCAAATACGTCGAAAATTGTAGCTGTGCATTCGTTACACACACACACACACACACACACACACACACACACACACACACACACACACACACACACTGTCATCCTGCCTTTTATAAATAGAGATAATACAGGTAAAAATAATCCGTCAGTTAAGGTCTTTTGCATTTATTATATTCTCTTTAGAATTATTCATACATATTATCAGATGATATCAATATTATTGTCCTAGTGTTCCTTATAAATATAAGTTGAGCTCTCATAGTAATATTTCCTTTTAGATCATTTTCAAATCCAGAGTTTCACCAAAAAATGGAAACGTTTACTCCAGACTACTTTATGAAAGAAACATTATTATCCTTTATTACATTCTTTCCTTATTTGAACTCTTTAAGAGATTAAGGTGGAAAAGTTACTTTTACTAAAACCCTCAAGATGTAATGAAGTGGAGGAGGAAAAAAATTTAAATCTCAAAAAATTCCAACTAAAACCTAGTTCCATTCAAATGTATGTTTCACTTAATTTAAAAATCATTTTGTAGAACCATCTGACCATTTAAAAAAGAAATTATTATATTTACAAAATTATACCGTTGAACTATCACAAACTCCTTCAAAACAAAATCACTACTTCACTAGTACGTATAAAAAGACAATACCAATAGCACTATTGGCTCAATCAATTGACACACTGCGAAGCCTGCCAGTAAATTTAATATGGCAGATAGAATGATAATAACTCATACTAAAAATGCTTATTTACTATTTAAAGACTATAAAACTAAATTCGACTATAACCTACAATACTGATCAATAAATCCCTCCAAAATGACTTAACCTTAATTTCAAAAATAGGCTAAAAAATAATACAAACCATACAAGAAATCTACATTATCAATCTTTGGAAAGATACTTCGGACACTATTTAATGGTTCCGGAGTATCACAATTAAAAGTAAGACTATGCTTATTCAATTTGACATCATTAACTTCTATCCTTCCATTTCGGTAAACCTATTACTAAAAATTTTAAATTTTGCTAAAATTTATATTAACATTACCTATAATGTAGTTATTGTAGAATCTAGGCAATTTCTACTAATGTATAATAAGTCCTCTTTGATTAAACGTCTTAATGATAGCTTCGATGTTATGAAAGCATATGAGTTCGCTGAAATCACTGACTTAGTAGGTATATATTTATATATATATATATATATATATATATATATATATATATATATATATATATATATATATACCTACTAAGTCAGTGATTATTATAAATAAATATGAGAACAATAAAGAGTTACTGAACAAACTCTGTGTTTGTACGTGGGCATATAAATATAATACAAAACAGTTTACATAATTTTCCATTACTAATATTCGGCTACTCCGTAGGACTTAAACGCTGTCCAATGGTGTCGTTTTAAAAATCTGATTTTTGTATACACTAGAATATTAAACAGATGTTTGATGAATATCTTTGAAATTTTATCGATGTTTGTTTGCAAAAGAACTCCACAGATATCTGAGTTTGATCCCAACGAAAATGTCTCCACCAGCTGTTGCTAGTCTGTTTATGGTTCAATATTTGAATAATTCCATGACCAGTGAATTCTGAATTTGTTGCGGCAGCAAAATGGCCAAGTGATTTCGACAAAGATAGCTATCCACGAGACATTTAGTTGCTTAAATATAATGAAGGTATCTTGGCAATTTGAAGATCGTAATAGGGAGTGTTGTAAACCTTAAGATAACATTATTGATTTTACAATCTATAATTTTTTATAAATATTGAGTGTCTATGCTTCAATCTAAGATAAACTCTTGCTTAAGATCTTACAATATGGAATGTAACTTCGCTATGCTTTTTCTATAAATATTTTCAAGCGTAATTACCCTGATTATCTTTTGTCTTCGGTACCCCACGCAATGAATTTAACAGCACTACTTTACAAATTAGATTAGATTGTACTAAAATTAAATTACTGTAGTTACAAAAATCATATACAAATAAACACAAAGCGGAAATACTAAGATGATGTAATTAACAAATGCCACTACCAAGAATCGAGCCGCTAAAACATAAATAAACGAAGGCAAGAACTAAGCAAGAATAATAACACCCCAACTAGATTCGAAGACAAAATCAACACGTATGTCATAATCTACTTAAAATATTACGAAAATAACTTGATCATTTTAATAGTGTTAAATAATTTCAACACAAAGAATGCAATAAAACCACGAAGAAACAAAGGCTTACAGAATGTGCAAGGATATGAAAAAAATGAAAATAATATTAAATAAAAAAATAAAATAGAAGACAACAGTTAACGATTAACATTCAAATGTCTTAAGATTACCGTAGACAGGAATTTGGGAATCCAGAAGTCAATTTCGATCGCGTGGACAGGGTGAGAAGAAATTTCAATATTACAACTAGCAATTTCAACAGCAACATCATAAAACCTGTCGTCAATCATTGCTGCATTTAAATTCGTAATATTTAGATAGCGACAAAAAAAAGCTTCTCAGAATAATTGTTGTGAAAATCTTTGTAGATGAGGTGAAATGAAGGTACTTTTCTGCGTCGGAAACATGAATGAAGCTTTGCTGACAGGACAGAACCGATAACGCTGAATATGCTATTTTAGATTTTTTCAAGAATCTCTAAATACATGGCAGAAGCTTAGGCCAGATGAAGCAGACTCTGGCAAGAAAATTTGTCTAGCACGAAATAGTGAAACGATGTTCTTAACAGCAGACTAAGCAATTCAATTTGTCCGTGAACTGAATAGGTGTAACCATAAGTTTTATGCTAACAGTTTCTTCGTTTT